TTTTATGTTGTAGTTTTGTGGTTACTTACTTGTAATCTACTATAATAATTATGATAAAATAAATAATAATAATTATACAGGGCCTTAAATAAGTGCAAATATTTTCAGGGCTGGTAGATCTCGATAAAAGAAACATATTTACTCTTTACCATTTTTCAGATAAGTGCAAAATAACCGAGTTATTTAAGTTTAAAAATTTAAAAAAAATGTTTTTTTTTTTAAATTTGAGAACCATGGAGTAAAGCCGTAACTATGGTAATATCAGAGACGGCTGACTGGCAGCAGAAAAAAGAATGAATAGCATTAGATAAATTTAAATAGTCTCGATCTAAATGTATACTAAGAATACGGTAGCGTAGATTGACAACTGGGGGCCTCGCCTCGTTGCAATATTTTTCGAGCTCCCCTTTGTAAAAAGGTAGACTAATTTGACACGAACTCTGTGGTTGACGGAGAAAACATATATATGATTGGTTTGAATTGGGGACGGATTAAAAGCCAAGTTTGAGAACTAAAAGCCAAGTCTAAATTGTTGTTTAAAATGTTATTAAAATAAATTTGCTAAAAATTACTGAGACAGCAGAGAAGAGTTAAATCAGGTTTAAACTAGATTAGATAATAAAATATTAATAGGTATGTCTGGAAAATCCAAATATTCTTATTATGGACTGTAACATAGCATTACATCAGAAAATATCCACTGCCTAGGTATTGCCTAAGTTTTTTCGTTTGAGTCATGGCATTATCATACAAGATGCCAAATGTAAAAAAGTATAGAGGAAAAGTTTCGTAATAAGAACTATATAATAACCTAAAAAATGCTGCAGTTTTAAAGGCGACCGCGGTTAATTCAGTTAAAAAGACGTATACACGACGAGGCTGCTGCTGTAACAGAAAAGAGAGAATTTCTTTCTACAATGTGTAAGAAAGTATATACCTGAAAAGCTAAAAGTAATGTATTTCACAGAGGATTGGGTCAGCTGAACTGAATGAATCAGGAACTCTTAAAGTTTCTCAAAATCGTAGCCTATTCAAGATCAAATTACCGTTATCAGTAAAAATTCAGATGTCCGACCCAATATTGGTCTTTACGAAAATTTTGATTAAGACAATTTATTTTTTTTAAACCGGAGGCAAAAAAGCTTTTTCGCACGAGCGAAAAACGCCCTTACTTATATATTAATAAATAAATTATGTTTCTTCGTTATGGTCATTTTGTTTTTGTGGATTTGGGCCGGTTGCCTGTTTTTCCCGGGCCGGTTTCCGCTTCCCTATCCACCTCTGGACAGTTCTAAAAAGTTTTCGAAAAATATATAGGGAAATAAAAAAGAAAATGTACGATTTTCAACATTTTTTTTGCGAAAAGTACCTCATAGACGTGTTCCTGGGGTCGAAATATACCACCCCTGAAAATATTTGCACTTATTTAAGACTCATCCTGTATATTAGACTAGTAAGTATTACTAATTGCTAATGCAATTTTAGGACATGATTTATCAAACTTTTTGAAGTGGAACTTTTTTACGCGCGCTGGGAGTAAAAATTCAAGGCCGTTGTACACGAGCTAGTGAGTCGGTCCTGACACACGAGCTAGTGGTAACGAAAAGTGGTAACGGCTTAGAACTATGTAGTCACGCGACATGTATTTGTGAGCAGTCCAAGTGTTTATCAAAAATATTGATATTTTACTACAAACTACAAAGTGAATCAAATTACTACGTGTACAAAATCATTTGATACACGTTAAAAACTATTTTTATTATTTTTTTATTTTACGTGAATAAAACTGTTAGACGTAAAAACTATTTTTCACGCGTATAAAACTATTTGTTACGCGTAAAAAACAATTTTCTATGCGTATAAAACTATTTGTTACACAAAAAAACTATTGTTTAAGGGTAAATTTTTTTTTAATATTTATTACTTTTTCAACATTTCAAAATATACTTTTTCAAACATGTCCTTCAAATCCTTCAATTTAATAGTATCTTCCTAAAATGAAAAAATGCATACTATTTAATTTATTTTTATTGTATTATTAAATATTACGTCCGCCTATGACGAGGTCTCATCTTAGAAATCGCTAAAAACTCTTATATAACTGTTATTTTGTGTTAGTCTCAAAAGACGCTTCACGCAAAAAAATGCAAAAATCGTTTTCTGTGTGGCCGCGGGCTTAGACCGCGCACTAAGTCTACGGTCACACAGAAAGCGAATTAAGCGATTTTGTGTTTGAAGCGTTTTTTCGTCTTTTTTTAATATGTATAAGACGCGCTAAACGCTTTTGCTCAGGCCACTCAAATATGTTCGTGTTATTTTGTTTTAGTCGTAAAAGACGCAAAACGCATGCAAATGAGCGTAAGTCGACAGGCTGGGTATGAATAAGCTGTAGTTGGTAGACATACACATTATATTATAAAATTAACTAAAAGGATTGCTTAATCTATGTAAGAATGAAAATCTTCCATCAGCATTAGGTATAGTTTTTTTTTGAACTTGTACACTCTTTGAATAATAATAATATCTATAATATGATCACTCATTAGTATGCTGGTTTATCTCCGCTAACAAAAAAAAAACAACAAATTGTCTAGTCAAGTGTGCAAAAAAAATCATTTATTTAAATGAATGACGTTTTGCAATGTTATTGTTCCGATATAACTTGAAAAAAAATCTTTAAAATTCTTGGTACATCATTTGACATCAACGTATAATGCTTTAATTATTTAAATAATGGTTTGTTATTTTTAATCTAATTGTTATTGTGTGCTTTACTTAAAGAATACTCAATGAAGTTGCGGATGTAAAAATATCTCTTATTGGAACAAGAGAATAATATACAGGGTGTTTCAAAAAACAAGCGTCATCTATCGTGCGGAGATTCTTCACGTAAAAATAAAATTTATTTTTTATATCAACATACAGTATGTCCCCGGATTGTCGGAACTTTTTTTATGAACATTTTGAGAAAAATACAAAATTTATACTTTTATTATACTTTTCCAAAGTTCCATAGTGTTTTAGAGGAAATTAAAAAAACATGAAAATATGATTGAATTTTTTCCTAGAAGTCCTAAAAATCAAAAGGTGTTTCTATGGTAATATAATTTCGATTTCATGATTTGATAGATGGTTATTATTAGTTATTGAAAGAGTTAGTGTTAATTTTGGCTGTAATATTTTTTGCTGTTGTTAATGTATCACATTTTCTGATAACGTAACGTTTCTTTCCATAGCTTTGCACTAAACCAAAAGCCTTTATAGAAACCCTAGACTTAGTTATACCGGGTGCAGTTTTCTGTTAAAAAAACGAGGTTTAGTATGTTAGTATATGACATAAATTAGGATTGATTGACGTATTCAATTGTTTTTGGTCACTTCCTGTTTCACCGGAAATGACTACAACTTTTGATTTTTAAATGGCACCCTCGGTATTTTTTTTACTTTATTCAGTAGAAAATAACACTGTGAATAGAATAACATATCATATGTCAACATTTGACATTTCGCATATGATTTATTTGAATTTATAACTTGCGGTTCGTAACGAAAATTTCACTCGAAATAACAAGTGTGTGGTATCGTTCAGGTCCCATTTGAAAAAATTGATTTTTTATTAAGTGAGAATGTCAAAAGTTGACATATGATATGTCATTCTATTCAGAATGTCATTTTCTATCGGATAAAGTAAAAAAATACCGAGGGTACCATTTAAATATCAAAGGCTGGGTATGAATATATTCATTTCCGGTGAAACAGGAAGTGATCAAAAACAATTGAACACGTCAATCAATTCTAATTTATGTCATATACTAACATACCAAATCTCATTTTTTTATCTGAAAAAATAAAAAAGTTATAGGGGTGAGCCACTTTTGAGACGCACCCGGTATTTTCTTGTTTTTTTATTTAATTTTCTCTAAAACGGTATGGAAATATGTGAAAGTATAAACGATATTAACCATTTTAAAACAAGCAATTTTTTTTAAGAAGAATGCATTTTTCTCAAAATGTCAATAATAAAAAAGTTGTTCCTCTTGTAAAGACAATCCGGGGACAAACTATAGATTGTGATACCGATTCTGCTTTGTTTCGTTGCTACAGGGGATTAAAATCTTTTTTTTTATTTATTATAGTTTTCTTCCAAGTTCTTTTAGCGATTCGAATGAAATTTTGGGGGGTAAAAGTTACTATAAGTGCGACATATTTTAATGTTAAAAAGTGTAGAGATTCACCAGGGACGTGCATACGGGTTATCACTGGAATATTTCTCTAAAAAACATGTGCCCCACTGACTTTTTTCTCTTGTGAGCACAGTTTTGATTGAATTAATGCCAATTAAAAGTTGTCTCGGCATATTTTGCCGATTTCGGTCTCCTTGAAATAAATACAATTTTATTCATTTGCCCTAATCAAGTCACATACTAGTCTGTGTCCAAGTCTAATAGCAATAAAGCCATTGGCGCACATGTTTCTTTAGAAAAATATTTCAGTGATAACCCATTATTATGCACGTCCCTGGTAAATCTGTCGACACCTTTTTAGCACTAAAATATGTAGCACTTATAGTAACTTTGCCTTCAAAATTTTATTCCAATCGCTAAAAGCATTTTAACTCCCAGTAGCTACAAAACAAAGCAGAATTGGACCTATGATGATATGAAAATGTTTTTACATGAGGAATCTCCCCAATAGATATGGCACCCTGTATATTACCATTTCTCTAAGAATGGAATTTCATAAACCTCAACAAGTTAAAAGAAAATTAAGAATTGATCCATTGTTATCATTGTTTAATGTCTTTTGCCACAGTAAATAATTGTATACCAAAAAGCAAGGACAAACCATTACCTACCGTCACATGAATTTCTTTTTCAATTCTTTGTTTACCTTTTCAGGAATGTTCCATTATATAACATACAATAATTATTGATCATGTTTATAAAGTAAAATCACTTACAAAAAAATTGGGTTAATTGTTTTATTCTTTCTAATTTCAGATTAAAACAGTAGTTCACTGGGCTTTGGCTGACACATCATCTGGAAAGAATGCCATCTGCTTTGAGGTTCCAGCAAGAATAACAAATTAATTTATTTTTTATTTATACAATTTTCTATCGTAGGTTAAACTATTTTAATAAAAATATTATTTTTACATATATTTATCTTTATTGTTTTTTTTTGTCCACTCTATATAAGATATACCGGGTGCGTCTCAAGTATAACATTTTAATTTTTTCAGATAAAAAAAGACGTTTGAGGTTAGTAGGTATATGACATAAATTAGGATTGATTGACGTATTATTCAATTGTTTTGTCACTTCCTCTTTCACCGGAAATTACTAGAACTTTTGATTTTTAAATGACATCCTCGGTATTTTTTTGGTAGAAAATTATACTCTGAATAGAATGACATATCATATGTCAACTTTTGAAATTTTCGTATATGGTTTATTTGAAATGTAACATCCGGTTCATAGCGACAATTTGACTCCAAATACTGTGTCAATCAAATTAAAAAAAGTGTGTGGTATCAAATTATTCCTAAAAAAATGATTTTTCCAAGTAAGCTAATGAGCTACTCATGTTCCATTTGAAAAAATCGAGATATGACTAAAAATACAATTTGGGCATTTCTAGATTGAAATTTAAAATACAATTTTTTTCAGCAAAAATGTCTAAAGGTGACAATGATATGTCAGTCTATTCAGAGTGTCATTTTCTATCGAATAAAGCAAAAATATACCAAGGGTGCCATTTAAAAATCAAAAGTTGTAGACATCTCCGGTGAAACAGGAAGTGACTGAAAAAAAATGAATAGGTCAATCAATACTAATTTATATCATATAATATACCCAATCTCGTTTTTTTATCTGAAAAAATAAAAAAGTTATAGGGGTGAGCCACTTTTGAGACGCATCATCTTTTTGACCTGTTTTTATATCAATTTTTAAAAAAATTACTTAGAATGTTGACCCATATAAAAATATTATTGATGGGCATTTCTATGCAAACTATAATATTTCTTTTTAAATGATGACTTTTCTTAAAACAAGATGTTCTTGGTTGGTATAAGTTGTTTAAATAAATACTGTTATTCTCGAACGAACATAACACACAATATAAAAACACCAATAACACATATCATTTTTTTCATTATGTTTCAATAGAAAAAACGCAACTTTTTGGAAAATAAATTTATTGTAAATCTAAAAATATAGTCCGCTTAAGTGACATTTTAACAAATAATCGGTAAATTTGATAATCCTCAAAAGAAATAATAATAATGCTATATAAAGCTAATAGAATATACAGAGTATAGGTACTTAAAATTAGACAAGTTGGAATAGTCAAAGAACACGTTAGTTCTAAATGTGTTTATTGTCTCTTAATCAATTAATTTTCAATACATATAAAGAGACAATAAGACATCACAATTGATAAATTATAAAATTTAATTAAAATATCTTTAAATATATGACACTCTTTTCTATGACACAAAAATATATAACCTTCTTTAAATAAATCAATTTTTTACTTTCTATGTTTAAAATGTATCCTAAAAATGAATTTAAAAATTAAAGCAGACAATTGTGTGAACATTCTACAGGGTGTTTCAAAACAAATGCGAAAAACTTTAGGGGGTGATTCCTTGTTCAAAATAAAGGGTAGTTTGCTTTATAAACGTTGGGTCAAAAGTCAACCATTAGGGAGATATCGCGGTACAAAGATGGCGGAAAAATTATGTTTTTATTTTTTATCTTGAAAACGAAAAGAGATAGACTAATGAAATTTTATGGAAGCATTACTGTTATGAAAACACACTTTCAGGTAATTTTTTTACTTTTTTAAAATGAGTGGAAGGGGTTGAAATAAACTACCCCTATCATTCTTGTTAACGAAATTTAAAGAAAAATCTTATCAAACACACGCAAATGCTTTATTTGGATAGTTCAGTTTGTTTAGAAACTTTTCTACCTCTTGAGTTTTTTTGATAAATCTCACCGATTGGAAATTAAAAAATAAAATGTAAAGCATTACATGTCAGGACAAAAAACATTTTTAGATTAAGAATCTAGTGATAATAACGATAATAATAATCATCTAGATAATAACGTATTGCAGTAGAGTAATGTCAAATAAAATAATATTAGGAACATCCTAAAAGTAACAGCGGCCAACTATATTTTTTCTAAAAAATTACAGCAGCCCACTAGATTCTTTATCAGAAAATGTTTTTGTCCTGACATGTAATGCTTTACATTTTATTTTTAATTTCAAATCGGTGAGTTTTATCAAAAAAATACAAGAGATAAAAAAGTTTCTAAACAAACTAAACTATCCAAATCAAATTTTTTGCATGTGTTTGATAAGATTTTTCTTTAAATTTCGTTAACAAGAATGATACGGGTAGTTTATTTCAACCCCTTCCACTCATTTTAAAAAGTGAAAAAATTACCAGAAAGTGTGTTTTCATAACAGTAATGCTTCCATAAAATTTTATTAGTCTATCTCTTTTCGTTTTCAAGATAAAAAATAAAAACATTATTTTTCCGCCATCTTTGTACCGCAATATCTCCCTAATGGTTGACTTTTGACCCAACGTTTATGAAGCAAACTACCCTTTATTTTGAACAAGGAATCACCCCCTGAAGTTTTTCGCATTTGTTTTGAAACACCCTGTATAACCTAATTCATATACGTTCAGAATTACATTAAAATAAGGTTAAACAGTCTTAAATGATACACTTGTCAATTTTGCGTTTTATCAAAATTGAAAAAGAAATAATGGACAAAAATCAACTTTTACTATGTACTAAAATTACCGAGATGTCGTTGAAAATTACCATATACATCGTAAATATTTATATATCACTATTTTAGTTTATACAGTCCTTTGACTATGCCACGATTACTAAAGCAAAGTGTTAAGAGCTATGGTGGGCAAGAAATACATTTTAACAATAATTAAAAACATCACAATATTAATCTGAGATAAAGTTCTTCACATTTTAAACCCCTTTCTTGATTTTAAAATGATATGATACCATGCCATGGCTAGAATATGATGATAGGATGCTATTTGGAAACATGATGCATTTCTTAAAAAGGTCCTCTTCAGGCATTTCATTGAGACAATAGTCGGTTCTTATCAGCCGTTTTTCTGGGCGACGTACGTCGATGATACTGACTTCGTAAACAAAGTTTTTTAGCTCACTCTGTACGCCAATGGCTTCGGCCGCCCACATACAATAGTCGCTGACACGTTTGCAAGTCAATCTGTGAAAGGAAAAAAAAAGACTCCCTATTGCAAATTTATAATACACTGACACACTCACATATTTGTATAGTTTTTTGTATGTCATATGTCAAAATCATGTCATAAGTCTTAAGCAATCTTAATTTCGAAAATAAAAATGATTTAAATCTTGGGCTTTGACTTTTTCAATCATTTTCTCTCAAGTCCAGTCATTTTCATAAACACCACAAAACATTCCCCTTTAGAATTTTGACTTATCTTATTTGTCGTGAAATGAAAGTAAAAGAAGCGCCCCCTTGAGTTTGTTTGCGCACTAAATTCATGAAATATGGATCCCCATATTTAATTTTTTTTTGAATATTACAGAAATATTTTTAAATTGTAGTAACGAAATAGGTATATTAACATACAGGGTGGTCCGAACTGTATTCCGGAAACTTCGACAGCATATTCTGCAGATAAACATAAGTAAAAAAGTTCGTATAAATGTATGTCCTAAATTGCTTAGTTTTGGAGATACAGGGCGAAGAAGTTTTATTTTCATTTCGATTGTTCCCAAATAATTTCTGAAGTAACGTCAATATTTAGATGAAAATTGGTGTCTGGGAGAGAGTTTTGACATCAGAAATTTGATTTTGATATCAGAAATTTGATTTTGATGTCAATATGACTCCTATTTGTAGAGGGCGCCACCTACATTAAAACACATGTAGTAAACCAACTGTTTTGAAGAGTAATAACTTTTCGTCCGTACCTGTATAAAACTACCGGGTAAAAAAATATACGTTTCCGTGATATTTTACGTAAAAAATGTCTCTTGGTAAAAATCGTTATGAGCAACCGTTCTCAAGATAGAATGGAAATAGTCAATTCATGTCATTATTGACAAAAAATAAACATGCCAAGTAGATAGTTATTTGACTGAAATGATAAATTTGGAAACATTTAATTTTTTTAAATTCATCATAAATTGTTCTTCGAAAAAATCATGATTAAACAGTTTCTGTTGAACTTTTCGCACAAAAACATTTCAAATTAATGATTTCAGTTATCATGTTTAATTTATGTCAATGACGACAGGTACAGATAATTTGGATTTCAAATATCTCGAGAACCATCACTCGTAGCAATTTTTACAAAGAGACCTTTTCTACGTAAAAAAAGCGTCGTAAATGTATAATTTTATACTCAGTATTTTTATACAGGTACGGACGAAAAGTTATTACTCTTCAAACCAGTAAAAAATATATAGGTGGCGCCCTCTACAAGTAGGAATCATATTGGCATCAAAATCAAATTTCTTACGTCAAAAAACTTCTAGACACCAATTTTCATCCAAAAATTGACATTACTTCAGAAATTATTTGGAAAAAATCCAAATAAAAATGAACCCTCTATACCCTGTATCTCCGAAACTAAGCATTTTAAGACATACATTTATACAAACTTTTTTACTTATTTCTATCTGCAGAATATGCTGCCAAAGTTTCCGGAATACAGTTCGGACCACCCTGTATATTAAAAATTACAATAAAAAATTGTAATTTATATAACACACAATTTAATTTTAATATATCTATTTTATAAGTTGAAAAAATGTTTAATTCAATACCCGATCGAACGTTTATAAAAATAAACAATTATTGATGTTATTATAAATTATGTATTTTACATACATATAAACTAAAAAAAAACGTACAAAACAATTCGAATCTTTCCGGGGATTTGGAAAACAAAAAATCTGCCATTTTTGTTGTGGCAGGTTTGCGTTCTCGGTCGAAAAAAGCCATTGCAATTAAATATGAATAATGAAAATAAAATGTACTTGGTAAAATAAGTACAAATACACTAGTAATTAATGAGGAAATTGCCAAAATCACACACCGAATATTCACAAAACACAAAATATTATTAAGGTTGCCTACCCCTCAGACAAAGATTTTTCTAGATATTTTAATTTTTATGATTTTGCGTCAGTAGATCTTTATTGTTTGAAAAAAATCTAGAGTAGCTGTAATATACCTGTTGTTAATTTAACAAAAATTAAAGATTGTAGAGTAAAATACTCAACGGTAATAAAAAGATACACGTTTAAAACATATTTTAATTATTACAGGATTAAAACTAGATATAAACCTATAATTATGTGACAAAAGTTAGCTAGATGAAATGAAATGCTCAAAATGTTTCCTTTCCTAATAACTGCATAAAATTATTGTCTTTTCAAAAGGATCTTTTCATTTTAAAAGGCATATGTGGAGTTATACCTCGAAAAGCAGCTACAATAATTTCTCTCATGTTGTCGACAATAGTTGGTCGAGTTTTGTAAACACTGTCATTAACATATCCCCATAAAAAAACCATAGATTCTAGGGCGGGCCTTGGCCTCATGGGCCCCCTCTGTATCCGCCACTGCCAGGGGAAAAACCTGATAAGCACCAATTTTTTAATTTTAGGATTTTACAATATTATAGTAGGTCTATAACTATCCTACACGTATCTACACGGAAAGAATTTGATGACCACCAGCCGTTCGCTCTCCTGTAAAATTAGAAAATGGCGCTTATCATGTTTTCCCCCAGGACCCTTCGATTAATTGCTTTTGATGATCACTCTGTTTTACCGGAAATGACCAACTTTTGATTTTTAAATGGCGCCTTTGGCTATTTTTTTACTTTACTCCATAGAAAATGACACTTTGAATAGAATGGCATATCATTAAAATATGTCAACTTTTGACATTTTCGTTTGAAGAGAAATCGCATTTTAAATTTCAATCTAGAGTGCCATGACTGTGTTAAAACACTAATGTTTTATCTAAGAGCCTTGGAAAAATAGATTTAATCATCTAATGTTCTTCGTATCTTCTCCTGACCGGTTATAAGATGCCCAAATCGTATTTTTAATCATATCTCAAATTTTCCAAATGGGACGAAGGTGGCTGAATAGCATATTTGAAAAAAGCATTTTTTACGAATACATTGGTGCCACTGGCTGCCACACACTTGGCTCAAAGAGCCCCATCTTTTTATGGTATGTTGACGACGTTTCGTGCACTATGAAACCCCATCATCAATGGCGAAAAAATCGTCTGATTCAAACGAAATTTGGTATGTCAATAGATTGGACCAAGACCAACTTGACCGTGTACGACACGTGTCACTGTGACCGTTTTGGCGCAAAAAACGTCGAAAATTGATGTCGTACGATTGCGACCAAAGGGTATAGCCGGATTAATATGGGAAATCTGCCACCGCGGCTTTTTTCACTCGCACTCAAGGGATCAATTTGGTGTCGAATCAAAATAATTCACCTAAATTTTCAGCTCTTTAACTCAACGGTTTTCAAGATTTTCAAAAAAATATGTTTTTTCAATTTTATTTTTATAGTAACATTCAAAATTAATATAATTAATGATTTTTTTCTAATTCTTAGAAGTCTAAGATATGAAAAAATAAATGATCATGATTCTTAAACGAAAAGCCGATTTTTAGCGGAAAAAAGAAAATTAAAATCTTCATTTTTTAACCTTTGTGAAATATGTCACTCACTAAAAATCGTCAGAAAATGTCTTTTATACTCCTTTATACTCAGGATTTTTTTAGAATTTTTTGAACTGGTAGACTAGATAAAATCAGGAGCATTTAAGTATTCTATTAATTGGCGAATACACACTGCATTCATCAATAATCATATCAATTCTCTTTCATGTAGAATAAGTTTGCATTTTCGGCAAATTTCTGAGCAGTTTTTTTTAACTGGCACAAAATCATACTAACATACTAAAAAAATAACTAGTTGTTAAAATTGGAATAATTAGACAGTTATGTTGAAGTAACGTCAGACATATCACAGCCACCTAGATTTTATCAAATAATAAAGATCTACTCAGATCAAATCATGTAAATGAAAATATTTAAGAAAACCTTTGAGGGGTAGGCAACCTTAATAGTATTTTGAAGAGATATGAATTCTCCCCCACTGAATATCGGAATAATATACTGGATGTTCCATTTGAGTAACATGCTTTTAAAGGTGACCAATGTTCAATATTAATTTTGTCTCACCCTGTATAACTTTTTGGATCAAGTTTTAATTTGATTTAAAGCACAATGGTTAATTTAACTACATATTCGGTTATACCGGGTAAATTCCAATTTAGGTAGCTTTTATTGTAATTTAAAAATTATTCTTTATTTCTAGAAAATGTTAAATATGTCAAAAACCTTACATTTTAGTCATATACTTCTCTTATAAAAATCGCCTTTATTTTTCTCCCAGAATCCGAAAATTAATTAATATATAGGCATTCCATTACAAAAAACACAACTTTGATATGTAACTTTTTTTGGGGACACCCTGTAGAACTCTTTCTATTTTTAAAAAGTGCTCTGAATTAACCTTCATATGCTCACAAAATTTCATTTCAATACAAACTGTCGTTCTCCTTGGAGCCTCCGCGGCGTATAAGAGGCGCCACCCTGTATATATTTTTTTTATAAAATTTAACCGATTTTGTAGTACTTTATATGTCGTAATACGTTACAATTTAGATGTCGAATAAATGTCCATTAAAAAGTGGTGATATGTTTGGATCACTATGTAATATGTTGATGGCCTAAGTTAACGGGTGGAGGATTTTAAGTTACTCTTCAATATTTTCGAGATCAATAATTATTTCTTTCGTTCGTCTTTCTTCTTCGGCCACACAACAGAGTCGGGGATTCACTTGATTCACTGCAAAGACAATAGACTCACTACGCACGCGTAACACGAATAGTAATCAAAACCGGCCCAAAAACATTAACTTTTTATTTAGTAGTGATATTGCGTATCTGCTGCCCCTAACAGTTTAAAAAAAAATGCTTCTGTTAAACCAAACCAAATCATAAAAATATATAGAAATCCAGTGGCGGATACAAAGGGGCCCGGGCCCCTCCTAAGATCTATAAATTGGGTTAAATATGAGCCTTTTGGGTTAAAAATGGCGCACTAATAAGCATATTCTACATTACTTTTTTATTTGGACCCCCCTAAAATAAATTTCTGTATCCGTCCCTGTAAAAATTTGACTTAAATCTTTTTAACAAGTTAGGTCTTTCCTAAAAATCTTTCAAAATATTTAAGCCTTTATTTAATGACTTAATTCTTTTTCTATTTGGGAACAAAGATTTAAATCACAAATCATTTTGAAAATTATTTTTTATTTAAATTTAAATAAAAAAAAGGCCTAACTGTGAGCTTGCAGCTCTGATCTCTCACAACAAAAAAAATCCAATTTAGAGAAATCCAAATTTTTAAAAATCATTTTTCAGAGATCAAGATATGCTAAGTTTTAAAATTATTATTAATTATTATAAAAATTATTTGAAATCAAATAGATAAAATTTATTCCAAATCAGAAATTAAACAGTATCCAAAACAAAGCTATTTATATTAAATAAACTGTAAAGATTGATAATTCCAAACGAAAATAAATATTTATATTAATAATTTCATAATTCATTTACTCAATATCATTTATAATGATAATGCTAATAAATTTAAAAACTAAATGGAAAATTACAAGTGACATACCTGAATATATGATCAAAGGCTAGCAAAACCTTCCTATCAAAAATATGGTTGTACAAAGAATGCTGCTCCAATCTAAAGGACTCGGCATAGCCATGTGAATCAGAAACAACAACATGATCAGAATGAAATTCCTGTAAATGATTTGTGATAATATCATGACTTCCTGACATTGTGCATTGAGGCAGAGGACAATTGTAAGGTTTGTATGGGCATACAGCTGTAAAAAAACAAAATATTTAACATTATAAATAAGATAAAAGCACAGAAAAGTCATGAGAACATTAATTATCTATAAAAACATAACGAGTATTAAAATATGCTTACCTTCGTGCCTACTTATTTCTGCTGGAGATAATGACATCATACAACCCAAGTCATGATAAATACATGGATACGATACACCTGCTGTTAAACCTTCCAAGGAATAGTTTCTTGTCATTCCAAAAGGTGCTCTACATGTAGGACACTTCTCCAATCGAGGTTTGCATGTATTACAAATGCTGTGACCTTAATCATTGTTTATTTAGTTAAAACTGTGATATAAAGTGTCTCTTTCTTACCTGATTGGCACTGATAAATAGGAGGTTTCATAAAGCTTTTGCAAACAGGACATTCAAAAAAGTGTAACATTCTCTCCCCTATATAATGAACTGGTGTATCATATGTTTTTATTTTAAAAATATTTGTGATCCTGTTTGTTACTTTAACAGTTTGTTGTAACGAAAGTAAATCAACACTTACAGCATCACACTCATCTACTGACTTATAAACATAGTTAGAGTCTAAAACTCGAGAGCGTGTCTTAATATAGCTTTCACTATTTCCCTTATGTTTTACAGAATAATCATAGTTGCTGCCATCATCTTTAACATTACAAACAACATAGAAGAGCTTGTTTTTTTCTAAACTAAGTTGCATTTTTAAAAGGAGTATTATATTCTTCATCACTAGCAGTTTAATCAACTCTTCTTCACTGAAAGTAATATCTAAATAAAATAAACTGTTCTCAAAGTTTATTATATGCTCCCCATGACAATTTATAAAATGTCCAACAAATTCAGTTGGGAATCCTTCCCATACGCACTGACATATAGAATACATGGGACACTTTTTTGAGCGATATCTACAGTTTTCTTCATGATCTAATAGGTCTCCGCTTGAACTCCAATGTTCACAACCATTTTCTCTAAAGCGACAGGGATAGCTCAGGGTAGTAACTAGTTCCTCCAAAGCTGTGTTTTGTAAACATTTGCTTTCCAGAAAGTTTTCATTATAGCAAGTTGAACAAAGGTTTCCTGCATTTTCTACTAGCATTACTGGCGTTGACAAAAGTAAGTTTTTGCATATTGCACAGTGCAGTATGTTTTTCTGAAGTAATACGTCTGTAACAGACTTTGCAGACTTGGCCATTATTCTGTACTATAGATATAAAGTAAATTATCTATGAATATAGCAAAAAATGCACAAAACAATAGTTTATAAATAGACAAAGACTTACCAGCAAGGTTTCCCTTTCACCAATGAACAAGAACTTACAGCTATTTCAAACAGTGGATGTTCAGATCCACAGTGAAAAAAATCAAAGTTTATATTTTGATAAATAGTTGCATCACAACTAAATTTTATACCGTTTTATCGAAGTACCCAAATCACAAAACAAGAATAAAATTTATATAACCTCAACAAACTCTTCGTTGACATCACAAATTTGACAATAGAAAATACAAAAATGAAATTTAGTTTCTATAATAGGCAACTAAACATACACTCTTGATTTATAAAATTTTTTGAAATATGGGAACCTATTTATTTATTCTTAGATTTCTCTGTAATATTATATAGAATGTATATATTTGTATATATTGGAATATCTATGTACAGAGTATTGTAGCTGAATAATGTGATTTTTAGAAAATGTGAGTTTGAAAGTCGTTTAAGGATTAATACTGGGATTAATATATATTTCATTATTTAATTATTTTCTAATAGTAGGTTTGATACTCATGGTCAACAGAGGGTTCCAGGTTCCAAGTTTTGCATTTTTAAATAAAAATTAAACACTCTGTATATTATTATTTTTTAGATTTTATGATTAAAATAATGGAAAATTCAATCTAGTTTTGCCACATTTGAACCTTACATAGAGGAAGTGAGGGTATTTTCTTGGTATTTTAGCATAGCGTAGTTACAAAAAAAATACAAAGAATTTAAATGTTGATTATTTTGAATAAAATAAATAGCGTGCGTTAGATTTACATATCGGCTTTCTAGGGAAAATTCGTATCTCGATTTTTGGCACTTTCGAGATACCAGCTTCGTGACATGCCCAATGGGTAATTTTTTAGCATGGAAAATTTGCTGCATCTCAATATTATACCTTATTCATTTTATGTTCATTTAAAAAATTGCACTATGCTAAATACTAGAATTAATAAATATTTAGAATTTTTAAATTGCTCTCCACAAAAGTTGTAAAAATCGAGATAAGCCTTTTCGTCATAAAGTCGACGAATTATGTAGTATATGCATATACTGTACCCAAATATGCCATAATATGAAGGTTTAAAAATATTTAAAGTAATTTAAATGGATATTTTCACTCATGAAAAAAGTGCAATCATCTTTGTCGACGTAATATGCGGTTAATTTGGAGACAGATACCGTATGATCGAAAAAAAATGGCGTCCAGTTGGCTGGGAAATGACGATCGATGACATTTCCCATATAAATTTACATATAAAATGACAGCGATCTTCATTTCATAGCCATCGTTGACGCCGTTTTTTCTCGATCATACGGTATATTGATTATATTAAAGAGTTAGGGGAAAATCGGGTAGTACGGGACATTGGGTAGCCTGGGACATTGCCAAAGATATTTAAACTCTAAAACGCGTTTAAATATTTTTGGACATTGCTATTAATAATGCTTTTAAGATCCCTAGTACTACCATCGCAAGACGCATTGGATACGTGTTTGCGGACAAGTAGGAAAATACAAAGAGTTCACCAAACGAGTTCACGAGTGGATACGACAAAAGACCCAGGTAATAGATGTCATCCACAGAGTCAAATGCCCCTCAAATGGCAATGGGCAGGACACCTGGCAAGAACGGACAACAGATGGACCACCAAAATTGCAGCATAATACAAGGATAATACCCACGAGAAATTAAGAGACCTAGAAGAAGACCGAACCTGAGATGGGACCATGAAATTAGAAAATTAGCAGGGATAACTATGGGCCCGCATAGCCAACAATAGACAATAATGGGCCCAACTACAAAGAGAGTATATCTAAATATGTGGGAGGCTACACCAGAATTGGCTGAAAATGATGATGATATTAACAGTTTATAAATATATGCATTATGTAAAATTATGTGGTGAATGCCATCGATCAATATAATTTTTTTGATCACGTATAATATATCAATAGTTTACAAACTATATAAAATATATACAGGGTGCATAAAATATGCAGTAAATAATTGCGCTAATAAGAAAAAGAATATAAATTGTGCCTAAACATTGAAAGATTACTGAGATAAAATACATACCTAAGCCCACTACAGACGAACGTGGATATATTGCTACATGAACGTGCAACCAAAAACGTCAATGCGTATGCAAAATATTATCGCGTTTTTGTATGTACAAGCAGTGGAATGCCGCGCTGATGAATTCGGAAATCGCCAGAAATATTGCTTGCGCGTTCAAGTTAAAGCCTCGTGTGGAGGCAAAATACACTTGTACAGTACGTCTGTCCGTTCTATAGCTACGGGGTATCCGTGAGAGGGGAAACGATATTCTCTCGATGTTTTTCGTAAAAAATTAGACGACGCGTCCCATCAATAAAAATTCGACAAATTTGCAAGTAGCCAATAAAATGAGTGGGCGGAGCGATTTGCGGTGACGTACTCGTCAAGCCGACGTATAAAATATATTGCTGTTTATTTAAATGTTTTTTATCCGCATTCCTTTCATAGACACAGATCCAGCAGACGTACTTTACGTGCGTTTTTGATCAGTAGCGTTGGTAAATTTGTTAGTATAAAAAATGTTTTATAAATAAACATTTTATTTATTTTTAAACTGTGTATTTAGATAGTTTACCTATCACGTCTGACTGCAGAACAATGTCCAATGTGTGCATTTATTCGGGAATTTATTGAAATGTATAGATACCTTCTCTGTGGCAGATAAAATCCAAGGAATATTTGAATAGAAATAAAAAGAATGAAGCCTATAAGCTATGTGTTATCTGTGCTATAAGGTATTAGTGAAAAAGCTGCAAAGTATTCAACCAGATGCAACTAAAAATACTGTGATAACTAAAATCAGTAGCCTTCGTGGTGGTTTTCGAAGAGAACACAAAAAAGTCTCGAATTCGATGAAAACTGGCTCTGGATCTGATGATATATACGTACCTTCATTATGGGACTATGATTTACTTCTGTTTTTTCGAGACTAGGACATACCAAGACAGTCCACTTCAAATATTCCTGAGTTATGGCAATTCTCATGATTGTATCTTGGCGTTTTATTAATGGAGTAACCATGTGCAAGAGTTCTACATAAGTTTCTTCGTCCATCCTAAGGTAATTGCCCAGTCATCAGGTTCTAATCTCAATTCTTCTGAGAGATTAATGTGGAAAAATGTTTGTCTTTTTAAAAGCCAATTTTTAGACCAGTATCGACGTTTTTTTTTTCTTAGTACATAGGCGCAAGCCACTGCCGCTGCACCCAAATATTCCTCCTCCCACAACATCTTGGAAAAATTAACAGTTTTGTGCTCACGTCTGTATGTCAGCGATGTGCACGTTGTTGTTTGGTTGCGTTCATGTATGTGTTAGAGCGCTTTCACACACGCCGGCAAAATCGGTGCCGGTGCCGGAGCTGAAATCGATTGCAATATAAATAAATTAGCCCCTTCACATATACTCCGATCCGTAAAATAGTCGGCGACCGGCAAATGCAATAGAATTAAATACAACCGTCAGAACGGGTGCAAAGCCGGCGCCGACTCCGGCATCGATTTTGCCGGTGTGTGTGCAAGCGCTCTTACGGTTAAAAAGTCCGATGTCCGGTTAGTGTCGACATTAACATATTAATGTTTGGGTTAGGTTATGTTTTTGGTTGTTTTGTTGTGTGTTATTCTCGAGATTAACCGGGTAATGTCGACATTAACCGAACATCGGACCTTAACCGTTATTTACGTACATGTTTTCATACATCCACGTTCGTGTGTACGGGGCTTTAAGTTTATCCAACGAGCCAGGGATGATTTCGACAGACGGCATCAAAAAATGACAGAGACTGCAATTAATTAACCTGTGAAATAAAAATTGCAAATAACTGTCTCCGTCATGTATCGATGTATACTCTCGTTGGATATAGACTTTACACAGTTCTGTGCACATTATCAACCAATTAGTACCCCAAGTCAATGGAATCTGCCTAATTCGCAGAGTTTCCCCATTTCTCTTTCACTATACCGGCTACAAGTTAATATTGATTAATTTGCAAGTTCGGAAACGTTTTGTACTCCGACTAACGATGTCTATTTCTCTAAATAATTTCCTGGGCGGTGTTGCTTTACCTTTCTACACCCCCACAACTTGTTTTGTTCCACTTAGCACCTATTTGCGTGGTAGCCCCCGTTTTCAGGTCAATAAAAGTTTCTTTGTTCTTAGTTATATTAGGTAATAACCCCTTTTGATAGCGAGTGTAATACTAAAATTAACAAGAATATAATAATCCTTTGTTTTATGTGGATTTATTGTATACGAGGTTTCAATGGTTAAAGTTAGTATTAAAAATATTTTTTTAATTAAACGAAACGGCTTTCTAAATAAAAATCGAATTATTTTGAAAGTAGATAAAAGGTCTTGGCTCCATCAAACTTTCTGGCGATTGCCCCTCTGTTACTTTGTTTTATGCTTGTCAAACGTAGCCTACTCTCATAAGCGGTGATGCCTAAAGAGAAAATCTTTAATTTTTACGATTTCTTTTTCTATTTGTTTTATCTCTGACACTCTAATTTCCAAAAAAACATTGTACCTTTATACACAGCGCAACCTCTTTAATCGCGGCAGTTAGTAGTCCAAGAATCTTGCATTCTGGGTTATATTGGTCTTGGGTAAGTGTACGTCCATAGTGCACCGGCTTTCCGCTTTCCGGTGGTCGGCTTATATCGCGGCATGTCTTATCGTTTTGTGAACCTGCGCCATTGAAGCAGGTCGTGACCATTAACAACCGCTTGCAGGAAGCGGGAATGTCATTTGGCATCATGAATGGGATTTCCATCACGTGGGGATTTATTATATCTTTTTAATAGCTAGTAATAATTTTCCGGCACACGAACGCATTAAATAAGTTGCAACAGAGACACCTTAGACAACTGTTAAGAATCAAATGGAATACCATGTCTCAAACGTATCAGTTCTTGAAAAAGCAAGCTGCGAGAGCGCTGAAGTCATGATTACTAAATTCCGTGTAAGATGGGCTGGCCACGTATGCAGGATGCAAGAAAACCGCTTACCGGAATCTCTTCTTTACGGTGAGCTTGTAGACGGCAATAGGAAACCGGGTGGACAACTCAAGATACAAGAATATTTTCCATGAAAACTTAAAGGGGAAAAGTATGCAGCATCAGTGGGAGGAAGCAGCGCACAAT